AAAAAAGGCATGAAATAAGAAAAGTCTAAAATGTTTATTAAAAAGACCAATGTCCTTCTTGTCAGATAGTTTATAACTACATATAATAGGGGTGTGTATAGAATTTATTTAATAGCACAAGCTACTTACGACCGGTTTCGACCTTACTTAAGGGTCATCTTCAGATAAGTTCGGTTATTAAATTTTTAAAATGCTGCCATTCAATCCGAACTTCAAATATATTTGAGCTAATTGACGTGTAGATTTTAACTTTTGGAGCATTGTCTAGCCATTTGTAAGTTTTATGGCCATCATGAACTGATTTTGATAATATTTTTTTAAATTTTCGTTTCGATACTTTCAAATATTGAGATATGAATGTGGATTTAAAATTTTTTGTTGATATCTTCGGTTGATCATTCAGTTCACGTATCATTTTTGATGAAACACTGCTGGATTGAACATTTTTCTTTCTCTTTTTTGAACATCCTTGTGAAATCGACAATCGACTCCGTGATTGACTTAAATGTCTCTCAATTTTTGTCGATGTATTGTGTTTATGCTTCTTGGAATTGGCCTTAAGAATGATATTATTGAATGGAAGTTTCTAAACGTAATAGAACAAGAAGATCATCAATACTATCATTTTTTTTTGTCTTCTAATCATTCTTCTTACCATTATTTATTCGTCTCCTGCCATGCTGATGATTTTATCATCAACTGGGTTTATTTTCAGTGTTGTCTCATGAATTTGAGTCATCGTCCTCGTACGTAAAAAATCACAATGAATAGAAATATATCTAAAAAGAGAGCAAACCAGTTAACATCAGCTTAAACGATCGGATATTAGAAACAAAAAACGCTTGGTTTTTTTTTCTTGTTCAAATCATCTATTCGATACTAAGACTATTCTATGACACGCATCAACTACTTCTACGAGTAAGACAATTAAAACAAATAATGTTCATTCATCCATGTAGTATTGGTGGATGCAGTTTATTAAAGACGATCCATAGAATGATATCCTACAGAACAAAAAAAAATAATGACAATAAAATATGATTACTGACGAAAAGAAACAATTGAAAATCAAGTAATACGAACTCTTTTTATTGACTTCACTTTTCGATAAAGTTAACAGACGAAGTGGTGGTTGTTTGTTGATCAGAAAATCACTTTTTGCTAGAGGAGTTGTTGTTCGTTCTATCCATTTGATTTGTACATGTTTCGTTTGTGATTCATTACCAAAATATTTCTTCCACAAATCTTGAAAACCTTGCTTGAAAATATCACGACTTTCTTGATGAATAAAACGTGGACATGGTACGAATAATGTATATTTTTTTTGTTCTTCACTTTGTTGTTTCAATTTCATTTGTTGTTCAACGTCTTGTATAATACACTCTAAAAAAAATCGGTTTCTTACCGAACCCCCAAAAAAGGTTCCGGAGATGTCTAAAAGCATCCAAAGATGTCCAAAGTCTCAAAAAAAGGATAAAAAAATCTACGAAACCTTTAAAGGTTCTTACCGTGTACCGAGGATAAGAACCTTTTGCTGCGAAACCTTTTTTTAAGTTCCGTACAGCAGAAAAAGGTTTCGTAGGAAAATACGAAACCTTTAGAGTTTCATATT